AAGCTGCTGTAAGACTCCTGCAAACTCGCCTACATGGCCCCCTGATATACTGTTTACTTCTGAAGGTCACTTGCAGTGGTTACATAGGTGAATCTCAACTTACCACAACATGCTCATGTTTTGTTTGTACCGACTCCAGTCAGACAACAATTTATCCTCTGTATTGTTCACTTTTCTCATTTCTGTAAAGAGTTTTTATTATCATCTGAGGAGTTAGGCAGAAAAATCAACATTCTACAGGATATATTCCATGATATTTAATGTCCTGCCCATTAATTGCCAATGGTACCATCCAGTCATCTAGACAACCAAAAATATGCCTCTTATTGTAGGGTTGCTAGATAAAGTACAGGCCACACAGATAAGCTTCAATTTTTGTTAAAAATTTAGTAAATTCATGACTCAAATATTGCATGGCATCCTCTGTGTTAACTTACTCTACCTGGCAGTTCCACAGATGGGGAGCCTTCTTATGGATGGTTATATATCATAGATAATATAAAAATGTCACCCCTAGATTTGTGCAATATACCAAGGATGCAACTACAAAAAAACCACACTGCTTGGAGGTCAACACAGACCCAGGTGAAAACACTGGTGCAAGTTATTAGTGAGAAATTATATTACTAAGATTGTCATCAATGATTCAACTAATAGTGGGATGTGGTGCTAAAAAGCTGAAGATGCACACAAACATATGAAGTCTAAGAAATTTAAAAACTCCCGAGATAGCATTAGCACTTATTTTTGTACCCACCTCATCTCTTTCATTCATTTCTCCTTCCATTGATACTAGACTATTTCCCCTTAAAGAAAAAGTATTGTTACATTAAGGAATTAATATTCAGAATGCCAACCACACCCAAAATTGTAAATGAGGATTTCAAGGATATTATGGTATAAACACAAGGGACTAATTAGCTAGTAGTGATATTTCAGCCGCTAACTGGAAATATATCTAGCCTACTATCAATGTTTAATGATCATTAGGAGGTGATGTTAAAATGTTTCCAAAAAACAATCAACCAGTTGTCAACAAGCCAAAGAAGGTCAAATTTCTTTTGACAAATGTTCAAGCCTAAAATTTAAGCTTTTAAAATGAAAATCTTATTTTGTCAGCTCCCTGAATATTGATTCACTTCTTCAAAGTAGACTCCCGCTGGCGCCGCGGCTCACTAGGCTAATCCTCCGCCTTGTGGTGCCGGCACACCAGGTTCTAGTCCCCGTCGGGGGGCCGGATTCTGTCCCGGTTGCCCCTCTTCCAGGCCAGCTCTCTGCTGTGGCCAGGGAGTGCAGTGGAGGATGGCCCAGGTGCTTGGGCCCTGCACCCCATGGGAGACCAGGAGAAGTACCTGGCTCCTGCCATCAGATCAGCGCGGTGCGCCGGCCGCAGCGCGCCAGCCACAGCGGCCATTGGAGGGTGAACCAATGGCAAAGGAAGACCTTTCTCTCTGTCTCTCTCTCACTCACTGTCTGCTCTGCCTGTCAAAAAAAAAAAAAAAAAAAAAAAAAGTAGACTCCCATTAAATAAGCTCATAAGTGACCAATATGTAGAGATAAAAATTCATAAACTGTTACACAGTTTGTATTAAGACCCAATTTGAAGGTATTCAGTTTGTTTCTCTAAATAATTTAACAAATACTATATTAAGCATAGCTATATCAGTTATATTATCTCTCTTGCTATTTCACTGGGTAGAATAACTAGAGAGAAAGAAAAACAAACACCACATGATAAATCTTGGGGAAATAGGTGAGAAAGAAAGAAAAAGGAGCGTGAGGAAGTCAATGCGTTGAGAGGTCCTGATACATTTGAGGAAATCAGTATATTCCAGTGTAATTAAACATAAAGTACTGGAAGAGAAGTGATAAGAGATGAGGATGGGAAAATGAACAAGACCCCAACCAAAAACATTCTCATGAGCTTTAGTAAGCCCTTGGTCTTTTTCCTAATAGGAATGTGGAGCCACTGTCAAGTTTTATGAAGGAATTAGATTTTATATGAGAGAACAGTTTGACACTGTGTAGAAAATGGATTGGAATAGAGAATAGCAAGGTAAGAGTTGGGAATTCCTGCTGTAACATAGATGAGAACCGACGTTAGAACTAGGAAGATGATCGTTTACCTAGAAGGGAAAACATTGAATAGATGAGCTATTCATGTTGTATAATCCATAGGCCTTAGCAACTAATTGTATGTGAGAGTGAGAACAGACAACAGCCTGAACACAAGATAAATAGGAAATAAATTACATATATTTATTGGTGCACTTTTGTTATTCAAATTGTCATTGGGATAGTCAAATGAGCCAATAAAGAGGGCTGAGGTTTAGGGAACACACCTGGAGTAAGTCTTAGATCTGTGTGTCATTTTGAATACCATTAAAGATGATAATATCAGCCAGAAAAAAACTGTAATATAACATATGGGCCTAGTGGTGAGGAACACTGAAACTCAAACTGTAAGCAAAAATAATGTGCCAAAACAAAGTCTGAGATGGCAGAACCAACAGTAGAGAAATTAGGAGTGCTTAGTAACACAAAACAAATGAGAATGACCATTTCAATAAAAATTAAATACCTGTGGACCAAGGAAATCTTCACTGGATTGGGTGAAAAAGATATTTTAAAAGAGAAGTTGTTAAAGAATATGATGAAAACATTTTCAGAGAACATAAAGTTGTAGGAAGCTGCATGACATTAATCACCATGTGAATAGAAAGTCAATTTGAGTGTAAACAATGCTTCCTATAAGCTTGTCTGTGTCAGAGAAAATAACGGGATTTGGTAGAGATAGCAATAAAACATTCTGTGTCAGTAAAATATGTACATAGTTTCATTCATCTGTTCTTGATATTGGCAGAATTGACCATGTTGTTTAGTGAGAAAGAAGAGAGTCATAATGTCAATGTGCAAGTTAGAATGCTGTACAGGTTGCTGAGAGAAAAGGCCAGAATCCAGGGCAAAGATAAAGGAAATAGCATTGGATGGTTTGTTAGGGGCTTCTATGACAAAGTACCCCAAAACAGATGGTTTAAATGACACAAATCCATGTCTTGACAGTTCTGGAAGCTGAAGTCTGCAATCAAGTTGCCTGAGGGGTTAGTTCCTTCCTATGGCTGTGAGGAAAGAGTCAGTTACAGGTCTCTCACTGGCATGAGATGTCCATCTGCTCCTTATGTCTGTTAACGTTGTCTTCTATCAGCTGCCGAGTCCCAGTTTCCACCTCTCTGTAAGGAGATCAGTCCTATTGGGCTAGGAGAGGACTTTACTCCACTAGGACCTCAATCTAACTTGGCTAATCATATCTACAAGTGACAATGGCTTAAGTAACTGAGTACCAGTCATTCATGGGACATACCAGGATTGCTCAATTCCCAATTTTAGCCTGCGCAATCCAAGATCTTGTAAGCATTTAGAGGGAGAACCACTGGATAGGAGCTCTTTCTCTCTGCCTCTCAAGAAATAAAATTTTGACCAAAAATGCTAAGTATAGGAGTGAAATGGACATTTTGAGATTCAATGATTTACAGCCTTGTCTCTAGTGTTGAGAAAGTGTTTCTTACTTTAAAAAAAAATCTTTACTTAATGTAGAATTAATCTTCTAAGTATAAAATAAACAGAAAGTTGATCATTGTAAAAATTGAGAGGCAATAAGAGAAAAGAGAAGAAAGGGTGGGATCCTGAGAGAGAAAAATGGTAGAAGTATTACTATGTCCCTAACTCTGTGTATATATATAAAATACATGAGTTTTATATACCTTAAATTTAAAAAATTTAAGACAAGAAAGTTCTTCATGAAGAAGTCATTTGAATCTATTCAAAGGAATGAAGTGTGTTGGAAATGGTAAATATGTGGGTAAAAAAAAGATTTTTTTCTCATTTAAAATAAATAAAATTTCTAATGAAAAAAGTGACCCTACTTCCGCACTTTAATCACATTCCGAGTTCCTAGGTTAGAATGCCAGTATATTAATTTAGGGAAAACACTATGCAACTTGTAACAGAGGGGAAGATAGGCATTTCTGTAACAGGGAGAGAAGAAAAGGCATAGCTGTGTGGGTCTATAGATTTTACAAAAGGAAATTTAGGAGTTTAACTGCCTTTTAGTTTCTCTGAAGTGAAGACAAAGTCATCAGCTGAGAAAGAGTCAGAGATGGAAGTCAAAGCTTCCTGAGGGAGGTTTGAGAGAGCCCTTCCCTGGAGTCAGAAGAAGGCTAACCAGGGAGACACTCAGGCTGTGTGAACAACTGGTGCTCTAATCTGCAGTAGGCAGACAGAAGAAATAATTATTCAGTAGAACCCTTTAGATAATAATGGAAGGTCTCCTGGGGAGGGATACTTTGGATGGATAATGGCTTACTACACATTTACAATAAATAACGAAGAAATAGCTGTTCTAAGAATCACAAGTTTCCTATTCATTTGGAGCTTAGGTTCAATGTCAATTCTGATCATCCCTATTTGTAACAAAATTATAGCTAGAATTTCTATTAAAGCATTTAATATACCGTTTCTTCCAATAGGTTGTGTTCTAAAGAGAACACCTTATGCATCTTTCTATCCTTAAGTCTCTCCTGCATTACTCGATGCTGTAGGTGTGGTTAGTATTCAGTGGGCATCCCAAGCACTGAACCTTGAGGATTTAGGACTGAGTAAGTGAGCATCAGTGTATATTAAGTCTTGCCCAAGGATATACCGTCTCTAAAAAATGATGTACAAGATTCATGAATTATTGTGAAGTTCAAAGAAATATAAACATCACGGCAAGCCTCAAAAGCAGAACACACTTGAACTGACTGAAAAACGATATAATCAGGCCAACTAATCTTACGAGATTGGAGAATTTATAGTAAAATAACATCCATTAGTAAACTTGTTAATGGTTTTCTCTTTATAAAATCTAAATTGTATCTATAAGAATTATGTATAGAAATGTTTTCATGTAATAGTGATTAAGAATTAACATAAGAAATACTATATTTTGTCTTGTTTTTCAGAGTGATTGTGTACTTAGTTTTTTCCTCTCTGATCCTCTGCAACAAACTGAAGAATCATCACTTCTGGACCTAGGTAAATAAATTCACTGGTATTATTATGTCCAATAATGCAAAAAGTATGGCTAATATTGAATTTTCAAATTAAAATAACTTTAAAACTAGGCACTTCATAGTTTAACCATGTCAAAAGTTTTCAACTTCTTAGAATACATTCAAGTTAAATTCAACCCGGATATGTTTGCCCATAAAAGTATGTCACACTATCAACTCATTTCACTTAATTGCATTAGAATAGAACTGCATGTCAGAGCCAAAGTTTTTGTTTCCCTCCAAGCATGGTTTTCAGTTTACAACATGGCTTAGGAAGGAACAAAAATACACATAAAATAATAATGATCATTAATTACATAGCAGTTTGTCTTTGGATGTCAACATAATGCAACACTTGCACATTCTATTGCCTTCTAAATGTGTCATAATTCGACCATTTCTATCATCTCTATTGAATTGACAGTTTTTGAATGTCCTATCAATTCTGACCATTTTTAATGTAATTCCAGTGCAAGGAGTGGCCATCCAATAACCAATTCTGTTTTTTTTAATTTCAACCAAGATTCAAAAACCCATAATTTTCCAACCTCACCCTTCTTTTGCAATTCCCAGTCCTCATTTTGTCCACATCCACTTTCTGAATGACTCCAAGATTCGGCCCATCTGCTCATTATCCCCATGTCTATCTGTCAGTCTAGTTACTTATCTCTAAAGTATATAATTTTATACAATCAGATCATGTGGTATAGATTATTTATTAAGTCATATCTATATGTTTGCCTTCCTTCTTCTGTTAAGGAAGTAGGTTTTAAATTTTTATTTGAAAGGTAGAGAGAAGGTTAGATATACAGATCTCCCATCTTCTGACTCACTCCACAAGTGACTGGCAGAAACCAGGAGCTAAGATCTCAATCTGGGTCTCCCATGTCGATGGCATGAATACCAACTACTTGAGCCATAACTCCTTGTCTCCCAGGGTGTGCATTAGACAAAGCTGAATCTGGAGCAGAGCTAGGACTCAAATCTGACCATCTGATGTGGGATGGAAGCATTCCAATAGCGACTTAACTGTTGTACAAAATGCCTGCCATTGAAAGTAGCTATTTTTTTTTAAAAGAATTGTTTTTCTGAGAGGCTAAGTGACAGGTAGTTTGGGAGACAGAGAAGGAGAGAAAGATCTCCCATCTACTGGTTCACGCCCCCAAATACCCACAACTTCGAGGGCTGAGCCAGGCTAACGCCAAAAGCCAGATCTCGCATGTGCATGGAGGAACCAAGTACTTGGGCCATCATCTGCTGATTCCCACGTGCATTAGAAAGAAACTAGACTGGCAGTGGAGGGCAAACTTGATTCCAGGCACTTTCAAATTGCATGCAGGCAACCCAAGTGGCAATTTAACCCAATGTGCCATAACACCTGTTTCTCATTTTTAGAACATGTTTATTTGAAAGGCAAAGTGACAGAGATGAAAGCACCTGTATATCAATGCATCACCTGCCTACTACACCTCAATACTTAAGTTAATGCACGAGGACAGTATCTCCCTCATTTCTGCACAGAATGAATAAAATGTGCAACATTTTTAGTCATTTTCATAAGTATCAAGTTCAAAACAATATCCGGAAAATGAGAAAATTTCTTACATTTTAAAGCACTAACCTAAAGAAGTGAGGGTCACAATGTAAAATATTGCTAATTTTAGTGACTTAATTCACTATTTAAATACTATTAGCCTGGGAGAATTTTTATAATATTACAAATTTGACTAATTGGATTTTGAAAAAAAAAATAAAGCATGAAGTAGTAAAATTCTAGAGATGTCAAACTTAAAAAGAAAATAAAAAGGTGCTAGGTTGACCTATATTCTGTCATTTAATTCCCTCAAGAAAATTGTTTCTCTGTTTCAAGGAATTAAGCTGTGGAACATTGTCAGCTTTCATTTTGCTGATACTATTATTTCTCTACAAGACGTTTTTAAATGCATATGCACACTAAAGAATTTAAGATAATTGTGAAAATTAAAATTGTTAAGAATTTTTTTGGTGTTACAATTTATACAATGTTTAGAATTTGTTTTAGGAGTAATGATGAACTAAAGCTTTTTTTTTTTACATTTTAGACTGCATATTAAATTTAGTCTGTATCTTAAAAAACGAGAGAATATCTTCCAATAGTGTCAACATGCAAATCATTACTACGTGTAAGAATTAGTATGAAGTTCTTCCTTGTTGGGCTCCTCAAATTATTTCCTCTCATACTGCCAAATACTTAATGCTTTTATTATAGACTATCAGCTGATCTTCAGAAAGAAGTACAATATTTGTTTTGAGCATTATTCTTGTCAGTTGAAACTTTGAGCTTATATTGTTAAATGGTTATAGAGCACAATTACTTACTTGTATTGAATACTTTATTAAGCAAAAATCTAAGACTTGAGCATTTTATTACCTCTCCTAACTAAGGAGATGGATTCTGGGCACTCATGCATCTAGGACCATGATGAACAAAGATGACATTAGTAGCAAGATATGGGAGATACAAATAGTCCTTTATCTTTACTTTTTTTAAAAAGATTGATTTATTTGAAAGACAAAGTTACAGAGAGAGGTAGAGAGAGAGGGAGGTCTTCCATCCACTGGTTCACTCCCCAGGTGGCCGCAACAGCCAAAGCTGCACCGATCTGAAGCCAGGAGCCAGGAGCTTCCTCTGGGTCTCTCACATGGGTGCAGGGGCCCAACGACTTGGGCTATCTTCTACTGCTTTCCCAGGCCATAGCAGAGAGCTGGGTCAGAGAGGAGCAGCCAGGACCAGAACCAGCACCCGTATGGGATGCCAGCACTTCAGGCCAGGGCGTTAACCCACTGTGCCACAGCACCAGCCCCTATCTTTACATTTGTAAATCTATTTTTTCATTTTATTTTTTTAATGTTAGTTCTTTTATTTTTTTAATTTTTTTTAAACTTTAATGAATATAAATTTCCAAAGTACAGCTTATGGATTACAATGGCTTCCCCCCCATAACGTCCCTCCCACCCACAACCCTCCCCTTTCCCACTCCCTCTCCCCTTCCATTCACATCAAGATTCATTTTCATTTCTCTTTATATACAGAGATCATATATACAAAAGATCAGTTTAGCATACATTAAGTAAAGATTTCAACAGTTTGCTCCCACACAGAAACATAAAGTGAAAAATACTGTTTGAGTACTAGTTATAGCATTAGATCTCAATGTATAGCACACTAAGGACAAAGATCCTTGAGTATGAGGAGTAAGTGCACAGTGACTCCTGTTGTTGACTTAACAAATTGACACTCTTGTTTATGGCATCAGTAATCACCTGAGGATCTTGTCATGAGTTGCCAAGGCTATGGAAGCCCCCTGAGTTCACTGACTCTGATAATTTTTAGACAAGGCCATGGTCAAAGTAGAAGTTCTTTCCTCCCTTCAGAGAAAGGTACCTCCTTCTTTGATGACCCATTCTTTCCACTGGGATCTCACTAGCAGAGGTCTTTCATTTAGGGTTTTTTTTTGTTTTGTTTTGTTTTGTTTTGTTTTGTTTTCCCCAGCGTGTCTTGGCTTTCCATGCCTGAAATACTCTCATGGGCTTTTCAGCTGGATCCACATGCCTTAAGGGCTGATTCTGAGGCCAGAGTGCTGTTTAGGACATCTGCCATTCTATGGGTCTGCTGTGTATCTCAGTTCCCATGTTGGATCATTCTCTCCCTTTATTCTATCAGCTAGTATTTGCAGACACTATTCTTGTTTATGTGATCCCTTTGGTTCTTAGTCCTATCATTATGATCAATTGTGAACAGAAATTGATCACTGGGACTAGTGAGATGGCATTGGTACATGCCACCTCGATGGCATTGAATTCGAATCCCCTGGTCTGTTTCTAACTCTACCGTTTGAGGTAAGTCAGCTTGAGCATGTCCCGAACTGTACATCTCTTCCCTCTCTTATTTCCACTCTTATATTTAACAGCAATCACTTTTCAGTTAAGTTTCAGCACTTAAGAATTGTGTATTGATTAGAGTATTCAACCAAAAGTATTAAGTAGAACAAACAAAAAAAAATACTAAGAGGGATAACATATCAAGTTGCTCATCAACAGTCAGGGTGAGGGCTGATCAAGTCACCGTTTCTCCTAGTGTTCATTTCACTTTAACAAGTTTCCTTTTTGGTGCTCAGTTAGTTGTCACCTATCAAGGAGAACAAGTGGTATTTCTCCCTTTGGGATTGGCTTATTTCACTCAGCATAATGTTTTCCAAATTCCTAACAGGGATCACTTTTCAGTTAAAATATAAACACCTAAATACTAAAATGGATAAAGTATTACATTGTGCATCAACAGTCAGGACAAGAGCTGATCAAGTCACTGTTTCTCATAGTGTCCATTTCATTTCAACAAGTTTCCCCTTTGGTGCTCAGTTAGTTGTCGCCAATCAGGGAGAACATATGATATTTGTCCCTTTGGAACTGGCTTAATTCACTCAGCATGATGTTTTCCAAATTCCTCCATCTTGTTGCAAATGACCGGGTTTCGTTGTTTTTGACTGCTGTATAGTATTCTATAGAGTATTTTTTCATTTTATTTGAAAGAGATACACAAAGTGCTTATGCATCTGGTGGTTTACACCTCAAATGCCTGCACCAGCCAGACCTGACTCTGGCCAAAATCTGAAGCTGGAAACTCAACCCAGGTCTCCTTCATGGCTGGCAGCGACCCAAGTACTTGAGCCATCATCTGTTGCCTCCCAGGGTGCATACTAGCAGGAATCTGTTATCAGAAGTGGAGCCGGGAATGGAATCTAGGCACTCCGATATGGGAAGCAGGCTCCCCAGCAGCCTCCTAAACACTGGACCAAGCACCTGCTCATGGCTTTTAGTCAGCAGCCAACTCAATCATCTGTTTCCTCAACTTAAAGCTTTTCCTGCACTTGTTTCCCTTGAACAGGGCCAAATTCACACTTCAGTGACCTAAGAAGTCACACAGGGCAGGGCATGTAGAAATGG